CACCTGAGAAGCCCATCAAAATTCAGATTCCTTCCCACCATCTTCAATTCTTGATCAGTGAACTAAGATCAAGAAGATTTCATTTTAACGTATCTTCCAGGTGCTTCCCAGGCCAGGGAGTTGGGGACCATACTTTGAAAAATCTCCAGAAGGGCAAATCTGTAGAAACAGAGCACAGATGACCAGGGCCACAGTGAAGAGAAATGGAAAGTGGTGACTTCATAAACACATGGTTTCTTTTGAGGGTGTTGAAAGTTTTGGAACTCCATAGTGGTGATGGGTGATTGGCACTATGATTGTACTTATGTTTGATTTGATTGCTTCTGCTCTGGTTGGCTCATTTGTGTAAATGGTTAGATATGTTTACAGCTTGACTATCTGCACCTGCGCTGTATGGCTCTTACATGGCTCCCAGATAAGTGAGTTGAGAATAATATATCCACTCACTTCTTTTTGTTCATTGCAATGCACAGCAGTTTAGAGGGAATAGATATTATCTGTCTGGGTCCATTTTACACACAAAATAAATAGGATGAGACAGTGCTAACAGGATTGACCATATCAATTGGGTTTATATCAGTTTAGCAAAATACCCCAGCTCATCAGCTTGTAAGAATAAAGGTTTAGGCTGGTTCACAGCTGTGAGGTTCCAGTCCATTATGGATTGGCTTCATTGGTTTTTTTTTTTATTTATTTAAGAGGAAAAAGAGAAAAACACAAAACAAAACAAAGCAGTGTAAGGTTACACATAATACAGAACTACAAAAAAAAAAACATAACAGTAAGAGATCACCTGTTAATAGATTACATATTATCATCTTGGAAATAGTTGCTCAAATCACAGTATCAAAGAATACAAAGTAGACATTCAAACAGAGAGGCTGCAAACAGCTGTGTTCGATGATCCAAAAACATTAATATAGTCAGCTATTTAACACCCCTAAACACACTTGCTGTTATATCCGTTAGAGCTCTTTTTTTTTTTCCTCCCTCTCTTTTTTACACATATCATGGAGAGATGCGAGAAAGCCAAACACTACTCTCCCAGCCAAAAAGCAAGAGACAGAAGGGGACTGGAGTCCACCATCCCCTCCCAGTGACCCCAAATCTCCACTAGGCTCCACCTAGTGGAGATCAGGGATCTACCACCTCCCAATGGCAACTTCCTGGGGACCATATGCACTGGCCTATGGGTGACATAAGATCCTACCCTACCATAGCATGGTTAGCATGGCCACTATCATACAAACATGATCTTCAAAGAATAAAACACAATATCCACAATGATTTGTAATGAGAAAACTGACTTTGGAATCTTTTCTGTCACCTTTTCAGTGAGCTTCTCACTGGATAAGCAGTTAAAAGTGTTATCGGGTACAAAGATTGATTCACCACTTGTATTTTAGAATAATCAGGTATTTCAACAGCAGTGAAGTTTTCCACAATAGGTGTGCATTGGTCACCTGCTGACAAGCAGACTGTAACGTATCTAGGAGTCCCTTAAGATAGATGGAAAAGTTGCCAAGAGAGCGGAGTCCCCACATGCCCTCGCATCTGCCCTTACGTGGCATCACACCTCCCCACAGCATGTGGGTCAGGACTTGGAAACTGATGTTGTTTGCAAACACCAACTGCAAGAACCATTTGGGGTTCCCCAGGTTTTCTAATGTCCTTTCTCTGTTCCTGGGTCATCATTTCTCCTATTTCTTTCAGTTGGAAGAGTTTCTAGGTCTCACTATTCATAACTTGGACACATCTGAAGAGCCCTTCTTGGGTATTTGGAGGGATAGGCTTCATCTGGGGCTTCACTCATGTTTCCTCTTGATTAGGCCTAGGCTATGGACTTGGGAGTTACCTCGTCATTACACTGTCTGGGACTCATCCTCGGGAAGGTAACTTCAGTCTCATGGCTGAAGTGGAGTATGCCTGATCTCCTCACCGGAAAGTTATGATTTTCCTCTCTCTATGCCTCTTATAAGTGCATAGTTGAGTCTGTCCCTTACCCAAAGGGAGGACAGTGATTTCCTGAAGCTTATTAATAATAATCTACAACAGGTATGTAGAATTCTTCCATAAGCAAGATTTGTCAGTTCTCTCTGCATAGCTATTGTCATTAATTTATATCAGTATATTTCCATAGATATTTATTTTATTCTGCATGCTATAATCCAATCATATAGTTGTTTATTTTGTAGCTAAATTGTCTCATCTTTGACCACTGGTGATTCTTTCAGTTTGGTTCTTTATCCCTTTGATATGTTCAACCAGCCTGTCTAATCCTCTATTTTTCTCTTTTTGAATATTTATTTTCTTATGCTAACAAGATGACCTGAGCTCACCTTGCATTTTTATTGCCCTGATCCTAAAACCAGCCAATTTTCCAAGAATTCCTGATTCCTTTTACTGGAGAATGGTGTTAAAAACAAAATGAGGTGCTAAAAGGGCTCATTGCTCCTGGGGTGCACTGAGGGTCCTCTGACCAGATGTAGTTAAGAAATAAATGCATGTACACTAATGTATACACACATATCTATATTTACATTTGCATCTGTGAGACAGATAATAGATAGATAGCTCCACATTTTTCTCATTATCTGGTATCACTTGCTCGATTTTAGTAGTTCTAACTGGCATTGCTGTGATCTGTAAATGTGATTTTAATGTTCACTCCCTTATGAGTGATGTGAGCTACACACACTTTTCTTTTCATGTACATCTTCAGTGTCCATTCAGATGGTTTGTCCCTTCTCTAATTGGGATGTTTGTTGCTGAATTTGAGTACATAAGTTTGTAAGAATTATATAAGAAGAAATATATAAGCATTATTTACAAGGTTTTGTTATATTTGTGATCTCTAAATATTTCTCCCAAACTGTGGTTACTCTAAGTGTCTTCCAAACAGCAAACAATTTAACTTTGATCAAGTCCACTTCATCACTTTTTCATGGACTATACCTGTTGGTGAGTGGGGTATTCTATCTAAAAATTCATTGCTGAGCCCAACACCCAACATCCTGCAGATTTTCTATGCTTACTTTTAGAAGTTTTACAGTGTTAGTTTTCACACACAGGCGTTTGGCCCATCTGCAGTTATTTTATATCAGCTCTGAAGTGTGTGAGATGCACGTGCTGCTTCTCTCTGCTTTTGTGGTCGTTTTGCACAGATGGCAGCATTGTTCCAGCATGATTTGTTAAAAGACTGTCATTTTCCCATTGACTTCCAGTTTTATCTTCATAAACATTCAGTTGACTGCATTTGGGGGTCTGTTCCTGGGTTCTCCGTTATATCCTGTCCATCTGTGTGTCTGTGTTCCCACTTGGCTCACCTCCTCTGCTCACCCTAGCTTCACACTGCTTCAGGTTCTGCAGGTCTTTCTACCTTATCCTCTTTTCACAGTGTTTTAATTCCTCTAATCCCTTTGCTTCCCACGTATATGGATACTTTCAAAGCAACTTTCTGGGATTTTCATTGGGGTTTCGTTGGCTTTAGAGTTGAAATCTCTAAATAATACTGAATCTTCAAACCCAAACATGACGCATGTTTTCTATCGAGATTTTCTTTGATTTTTCTTGCTTTATACTTGTCAGTGTACAGATCCCACACATATCTCACTAGGTTTAAGTACTTCAGTTTTCATATGCTGTTGTGAAGTTTGATTTTCTATTGACGATATGTAAAAATATGAATGGCTTTCACATGCACATTACCTCATGCCTGCTAACTTGTCGAGCAGGTGTTTTTGAAGAAGCAAATAACAATCTGTCCTTTTTGTCAATGAGCAAAATCTATTTTTCAAAGCACTGAGATAAAGGTGTTTGAAGGATAGACTTACACATTCTCTCATATTGCATTATTTCTTAGGAAAAGATCCACAAATAGCTCCTGTGCCTAAGGAAAGATCCCCAGTTACTCCACATTAAGGCAAGCAGAGATGAAAACCACTCCTAGCCAGTGTGCTCTGTCTCTCAGATTCTCAGCACTGAAAAGTGTGACAGCAGGGTGCTAATGGGCGGTGGGCAGAGTTTCTGGGCCCAGACATAAGGCAGTTCGACCCCACCTCACAAAATTACAGAAACACCAATTGTCCCAGCAATTTTGTTTCATTTCCAGAAATTTATCCTATGCATATTGTTACAAAAGTGTGACTAACCTATATACAAGATTTTTAAGTATAATGTTTATAACAGAAAAATGAAATAAATTGGATATGCTGTGTAATGTTATAGCTTACAGCATATTATGTAGACTTAAAATTTCAGCAAAACCTTTCTATTATTGGCAGATAGGATTTGAAAAATAAAATTATTAGTAATGTACAGCAATATTCTACTTAGATCAATATATCTCAATTAGAATTAATTTCAAATGTCATTAAACCCACGAATGCAAATAATGAACCTTGAAGTCAGTCCTTTAATAACTAATTCACCAAGTCTCACACCAAGGTTTTCAAAAGTATGCTGATTTTCCTGAAAATATTGCATTAAAAACAATTTAATTATAGCAAAGAGATTCTGCACTCTTAATAAAATTGTCAATATTAATTTCACTTCTGTCTCCTCCTTTTTTCAAATTTCGGTGTTGGATATGTTTACAATTCATGTAACATATTAGTACAGAAGCACAAGACTGTGATTTGTAATTTAATATCCACCTACTGGGGGTTCCCTTCCCTTCTTGTGGGCACTTGTGATAAAGTAGGGGAACTGCCACTCTGTAAGAGAGCCCTTGAGGCGAGACCCTGGCCAAGTTCTGCAACGAGGGAGAAATAGAGAGAGGTGGGAGGACCCTGAGGGTGGCTATGGCTTCCTCACAGGTGGAGGGTCTGTGAGCTGTGAGCACAGGGCATTGTGACCTTCAGTGCCGAGGAGTAGGATTCTAGAACCTCTAGCATCTGACACAAAGGGCTGAGGAATCCCGCTCCTTCTGAGCCCTACAGAAAGGTCCTTGCACTAGGAAGGATCACTAGTGCTCTGTAAGCATCAGTACTGGAATGACTCTCAGGAGTGCTCTGTCGACCACAGACTGAGTAAGTAGTACCAGAGAAGCATGTTTCTGGGGGCAGACAACAGGAACCCACTTCTTCAGGAGGACTCAATTTATTCTCACTGCGCGGCCAGGCGTGGCAGCACATGCCTATAATCCCAGCACTTCAAAGGTTGAGCCAGAGGATTGCTGTGGGTTCGAGGCCAGCCTGAACTGCACAGCAAGACTCTGTCTCAAAGGTAATGAAAAATAAGATTAAAAAGTAAAACAAAAACCTCTGATGAAGCCACGTGTTCCACAGAATAAGCAGTAACAACCCCTGGCTTGAAAGATACAGAGCACAAGGCTTGGGTCTCCCAATGCTATGACTCCTCTTCTGATTTGTTTGAGACCAGTAAGATTCTAAGACAGGAGACAGAAGTGAATTTTAGTAGTAAGAATTTCAGTTCTGCATCTTAGGTCTTATTTAATGCTCCACAATGCTTAACATGATGCCACAGGACAGGGACCAGCTCCCTTTTTCCGTAGTCAAATAATAAGTATTTTTTTAAGTACCGGGGATTGAACTCACAACTATGTGCTTGTAAGGCAGGCATTCATGCCTGCTGAGCTAAATCCCCAACCCGCATAAGTATTTTTGACTTTGGGTCTAGACCAGCTGACACAACCACTCTCAGCTCTCCTCCTGCATGTGAAAGTGGCCGTGGGCACTAAATTATCACGTGGGTAAGGCTTCTTCCCCCAAAGTCTTAGAAAAGCACGCTCCTGTGTGGACCCCAGCTAGGCCCAAGTATGTTGCTGCTTCGCTGATGAGGGACTTCGCTGCCTCCACCGAGACTCTCTACTTGGACCTGCCTTGAATACGGTCCTTCAATAGGAGAATCTAGTGCCCGTAAGAGAAATTAGTAACTTGAGAAGTGTCTAGGCAGAGACAGAAAATGCTCCTACATGAAAAATATGCATAAATATTGAGTTCACTTTACTCCGAATTCATCAGAACCCTCGGCTTGCCCTCTCTCCGGGAGGCCATGGTGTTTGGGAAGATGTATTAGGTCAGGGAGGAGAAGAGCATAGTGGAAACTGCATCCAGAGGACACAGACACAGAGCTCCCCCTTCCACTCCACCTCGAGGGAGGCTTTGACCAAGGACTCTGACCTAACACTCCTCCTCTGTGACCCATTGCCACCAGCCCCCACCCAATCCAATGCCAGATTTGCAGGGGGCCCTGCTATGACAGCAGTGGGGGAACCCAGAAAAGCACTACATTCACGATGTAAGACAAAAGACTTTTTTGAAGCAATGCTCCCACATTTGGAAAAGCATCAGAGAAGGGGGTTGGAAGAAAGAATAGGATTCTCTTCTTCCCTTCAGTGAACTCCCAGACAGTAAATCTTAAAGCTTTTCACACAGGACCACGCCTGTCTGCTCCCTGGCTGCAATGGAGTGTGAGCTTCTACATATGCAGGCTGTGCCTCCCCTTCAGAGTTCTTATTTTCTATCTGGAGGTTACAGTAGGAGTCCAGCATGTCCCCTGTGACTTCCTCCTGGATCTCCATAAAGAAGGGGCCATTGCTTTGCTTTCCTGATGTTGGGTGTGAACATAGCTACGTGGGAAAAGACCCTGCAAACTTCTGCCTTTCCTGTGCAGGACTGGCGCTGCCCAGCTCCTCTCTTTTTCCCTGATGGAGGTTCTGAATGATTGAAAGTGACAGGAATTACTTTGTCAGGGCTGTTCCCAGTCCCAGATGCTAGACGTGAGGTTCCCATGGGTGACAGATGTGATCTTGGATTAAGTCAAGATTAGCTAACTGCTCTCTTGATCTTTGACAGATCCTGTGTCGGAACAGGCGTAAGGATGAAGGCCACTGGGGTCCTGCTCCTGATTGGCTTGCTGGTCACAGACATAGAGTCCAGAGTCTACACTCGCTGTAAACTGGCAAAGATATTCTCAAGGGCTGGCCTGGATAATTACGCAGGCTTCGTCCTTGGCAACTGTGAGATTTCTTCCTCCTCATTCTCTCCCAGCCTCAGCGTCTCTTCGGAGATGATGTGGGTCCTTCCTAAGGAGTTGTCCTAGCGTCTACATGCTCAGGCCTCCCTAGGGATACACCAGGGAGTCCCCTGTTCTCCTTGCCTGCTGCTCTTGACACCTGTCCCTCCCGGAGTCCTCATGTTCTTATTCCTGGGGTCTCGTGCTTCTGACACCAGGGGAAAGGAAAACCATAGCACCCTGTTGGCAGTGTAGAGCACTAACCTGGACTCTAGCACCAGGATTTGGCTTCTGGCTTGGTGTGCAGCTTCTGTTATGGCATCCCTGCCCTCAGGTGTCCCGTGTGGGTGCCACCTGCATTGCCCCACCAAGGTCTCCTGGGAGGAGGCAGCTAGGTAGCACAAGTAAGGGAATTAACCCTAAAAGCAATGCTCTCCTTCGCTGACCTCCAGCTTCTGCCGCCCGCCCGCAGGGATCTGCATGGCGTATTATGAGAGCCGCTACAACACCTCGGCTCAGACTGTCCTGGATGACGGCAGCACTGACTATGGCATTTTCCAGATCAACAGCTTCACGTGGTGCAGAGACAGCAGTTTCCAGAAGAACCATTGCCACGTCGCCTGCTCAGGTACACACTGAGTTTTCCAAAGTCATTCTCAGGAATGCAGGGAAGGACGCTCACCACCTATTTCTGCTCTGACCAAAATTTGAAGTTCAAATTTGCAAGTTGGCAGCCCCGACACTACTCAATAGTTCCAAACAGTGACACTCACAGCCGTTTCCAGTTGTGCAAAGATGACTAGTTCCTTCTCAATGGCTTTCAGTAACCTCTGCACACAAATTGGACAATGACAAATGACCTTACTGCCCTCTCTGCTGTAGAAGTGTTGGGCGTCATCGTTAGGGAAGGAGAAAGTCTTCTAGCTGTTTTGTGTGATCAGTTCACCCAAAGGATTGAAGCCATTTGTGCTTCCTCATGCAGATCAAGGCAAATGCACACAGCCCATGTTTTTAACAGTAGAAAGTAAGCTAGAACTCACTTCTAGTGATTCTACTCTGGTCACAAGAATACAGCACAGGGGATAATAAAAGACACCTGGAACAGGTGCTGCTTTACAGAACGGTATGAGGAAAAGAATCTGTGCTGTGTGACAATCATAGGTGTAGACGGACTGTGGTGGCTCCAGAGGAAGTGATATTATTAAGAAAATCATTGATGCAATGAGAGTTGACCTGAGGCTTGGAATGAAGATAAGGCTTGGATATTCAGAGATAAAGAGCCATTCTAGGCAGGGGACAGAGGAGCAAGGACCAGCCTGTGGGAAGATGTCGGGCAAGGGTGGGACAGTGTAGCATTCTTATTCAGGGCAATAAGCGGGATGTTGACGAGGATGCCCGGATGCACAGGCAGAAGGCTGAGGGCCACCTGCCTATGCAGAACAGGGCAAGTCAGGCTGAGGAGCTTGTGCAGATGTCCCCCCAGATCAGGAAGCAGGAGAGGTCAGTCAGCTGCTGCTTCGGAAAGAGAAGTCAGTGGACAGGGTGCAATGTAGGTTAAAGAAGAGACCATTTCAGTGCAACCACAATTACAGAGGTAGGAGATACAGAGGCCAGGATGAGAGTCACACTGAGCAGTGTGAGGAGAGGGATGACGTGAGAACTGCTGTCCCAGGAGGAGACAGCCAGAGGACTGTCACCACTATCCCTCCCGAGAAGAGAGCTTCTTCTGTTTCATTCATTCATGTACCTTCCATGCCCAGAATGACCCGCGGCCACCATGAGTGCTCAAATACAGAGGATGGGGAGAATGAGGAACAGGAGTAAAGTTAGGCACAAAATACATTCTATGGCACAATTTTTTGAGAGCAGGAAATAAAACACTTCATATCTCTTTGACACATAAAAGGTAGTAAGTATCTGTGTTGGAGAGTGGTGAGTTCTGAATGGTAATTTATCTCAGACATTCCCCCCACCCCTGCATTAGTAAAGAATGGGCATGATCCTCTGGAGAAGATCACTCAGTATTTGATCAGTGTTCTGACATACACCATTCTCTGGCTGAGCTAAAATCTACCTCCTTGTGGCTTTCTTTAACCTTAGTTCTTCCTTCTGAATGTATTCGAAACAACTTCACTCCATTTTATACATAGAAATGTACTAACTGTTTGCCAATCATCCGTATTTCTCATCTCCAGTTTCTTTTTAAGAATTTACTTATTTATTTATTTATTTTTGGTGCCGGGGATCGAACTCTCCACCTCGATCTTGCCAGGTAGGCACTTAAGCCACTAAGCTAAATCCCCAGCTCCATCATCCCCAGTTTCTTAGTATCTCCTGTGCTGAAACATTCAGCATCTTTACCATCCCATAGGTACAGCTTTCCAACCCTGTCTTGTCTTTTCTGTTGTTTGGTTTTGAGACAGAGCCTCACTGAGTTCCCCAGGCTGACCTTGAATGTCTAGGCAGCCCATGCACGCTGACCTCGAACTCATGATCCTCCTGCCTCAGCTTCCCAGGTGCTCAGACTCTAGGCACACTGCCCTGTTGTGTCTTGGTTTATCTCCTGAGCATCTAGTTTTAAATCCAGCCTTGCTATTCATTTCCTAATTGTACCGTGTGTTCTGGGCTCCATCTTCCCTAACTTTTTAATCAAGTAAATATCGCTCAGTATTTTGAACGTCTCCTTATTTTCAATTCCCTTAGTCTGCGGTTTACAGTAGACACCTAACCACATCTACCTTCAAGCTGGATACCACTGACAGGAATCCCGTCACCCTTAGGAACGTTCACCCGTTCTTTGGGCCATGGTGTCATTTTACGTCTGCGGGCCTCATACACTGTGCAAGGCATTTTATTATTTTTGCTTTTACACAGTTATCAGATTGGGCAGTTTTTAAGTGAGGAAAAGGGCCTCATTCCATTTATTTTCATCATAGTCACGATCACCCACATTCTGCCTTCTTGGGGGACTCCTTTGGGCAGAGAGTTAAGTGCTGTCCTTCTCTGTCAGCCTAAAGAACCCCCCCCCACACACACTGGTTCTGTTTGAGTAGAGGTTCACTTGTGAACACTCGTTTAGATTTTGTTTGCCTGAAAACGTCTCTATTGCGTTTTTCATTTTTCATTTTGCCTTCTGTTTTACCTCATTAACGAAGAAAAGTCAGCAATTTCCTCATTTTGTGTTTCCTAAATGAATTTTTGTCTCTAGCAACGTTTAAGATTTCTTTCTAAATCACTGATTTTCAGTAATTTGAATTGATATGGAATTGGTATTTAAATAGTTTTGTGTTCACTAATTATTTCAGATCCTTGAGTTTGTAATCTTGTACAAAATTTGAAAGAAAAAATTCTCCCTTAGGATTTTGATGACATATGCATTCAGTTGTTGATGTTTTGCAATAGGACACTGAAGTTTGTCTTTTTGGCTGTATTTTTTTTCAGTAATTTCCATGGCTGCATCTTCAAGCTCTCTGACCCCTTTTCCAGAGGGCCTGATCTATTACACCTATCAAGGAGCTGTTCCATTTCAGATATTATTTTGTAACTCAGTATTAGGTGATTTTCATACCATCCACCTCTCGTTATTCAGATTTTTCACTGCACCTCACTAATTATGTCACTGTTCAGTACGGCAGAGGTCCTGCCGGAGCTCACACAAGTCTTACCCGGATTCCCTCACCGTGGGAATGCCGTCATCTGCTGGGCTGGGGTGTCGTCAGACAGCTGCAGTGTCCTCCTAAATCCCTTCAGCACGTCATGTGATTCAGGGTTTTGAGTCCTGGATTAAATATGCATGTTTATAACACTTTTAACTTTTTTTCACCTGTGAATTCAGTCAACTGTTATTCCTGTATCTTTCCATTAACTAATTTTTCTCCTGTTGCTGGAATACATTTCCATGTGTACATTCCACAGGTAATAATTTTATTGGCTTCCAGACATGGTGTGTGTAACACTGTTGAGGGCCTAGATTAAATTGATTCTTTCAGGAGTGCTGGGTTTTATTTTAACAACCAGCTATGATCATTCTGATCAGCTTGGCCCTTTCAAGTCCTGCTCGGATGCCTGATGAGGGAGGCTCTGAAGTGTTCTTTCTGGTGGGGCTTGTGGTCCCACCACCAAAGCAGGACTCCCAGTGTCTCTTTCGCCTACGCTGGGGGTTCTGTAAGGTCTCTTTCCTCTGGTCGCTCAGAAGCCAGACCACTCCCAGCACTCTGTGAGTGGAGCAGCCCCTGCAGTTGTGTCTCCTTCCTCTTCTGGGATCTTCTCCTTCTGTGCCCCGTTATCCCTCAGACCACTGGTTGGTACCCTTATCCTCTGAGCCACTGTTACCTCTCAGGTGCTCCTCTTTGTGAATTCTAGCTGCCATCGCCTCCGATCTGTCTCTACCTCGGTTCCTTTCTCCTGCCTGGATCCACGTCTTTGATATCTTCCAAGCAAGAAGTCCTAGAAGTCAGTGGTGTTGGGCTTGTTTACTTCCTGTCTCTTGAGAATCATGATCCTGCACTGCCAATATCGTAAATAATTTTTCATTCATTTTTTCCAGTTTTCCAGCTTTTTATATTAGGGCATAAAATCTGTTTCTCCAACATGGACCTGCCTGACTTCGCAGATAGTTGACTAATTTAATATCGCTCACTATAATTCCAGTTAAGGAAGTCTAAAGAAAATGCATGTCTGTAAGACACGTTTTGATTCTAGGAAATCAAAGTGTTGGATGGGTTATAATTACAAGTGAAAGAACATTCGTATCTATTTTCTCACCATAAAGAGCACAGCAGCAGGGGCGGGGGAGGCTGGAAGCTCAGTGGTGGAGCCCTTGCCTAGCACACGTGAGGCCCTAGGTTCAGTCCCAGCACTTAAAAAAAAAGATATGAAATTTTTAGGGAACACTTTACAACAGAAAGCAGCATGTTGGCTTTATATTCTAATCATCCTTCCAGACTGATCTTCCTCAGTCTCAAGCCAGAGAAGCTGTAATCATGAACAATGTCATTCTGTCCCTTATGTTATAGAAATAAGGACATTTGCTATGAGAATCTAGAAACAAATTAACATTAGGGCATGTTTACAAAGAATATGACACATTTATGTATAATACAAATGCACCGCCTGCCTATTTCTGAAATGTGACAATCACTTCCCGTTCCAAAAAAATTCCTCCCTCCTTTCTTTATACTAATTAGACAGAAAGTCTCTTTTCCATATTTGCTATGATTTGAATTCCCCCTGCAAAGTTCATATGTTGGAAACTCAATCTCCAGTTCCAGTAGTAACAGTATTTGTTGGTGGAGCCTTTGGGAAGAATTTAGGGTAGATGAACTCATGAGGATGGGACCCCCACAGGCATTAGTGCCTTTATAGGAAGAGGGAGAGAGACCCACCTAGTGTGCTGGCTTACACCAGAGCATAAGCCCTTCACCATGTCCCTGTGTCATGGGGGCAGTAAGCAGATGCCAAGTGGGTCTAAGACCATGCCTTTGGACTCCCCAGCCTCCAGAAATGAGTCAAAAAATCTGCTATTCTTTATGAATTCCTTGGTCTAGGGTATTTCGTTATAGCATTAGAAAATGGACTGACAATTTACAACCCTAACTGTGTGTGTGTGTGTGTGTATTTCCTGATCCACTGTCAATCTTTGTGTTCCTCTAATGGCACAGGCTTTGTTCAGTAAGAGATGTTTAAGGAAAGAAGGTGGCCAGTGACTCTTCCCTGTAGTCTTGTCCACTTACACTGATCTTATTGCACATCTGCCTGTAGCTGAGTTGGCCTTTGTCAGTTCCGAGAGGGAGAAGAGATGCCTTTGGGATGTAGCTGTAATTTAGTTAGGAGGTAGAGGATGCTGGGAGGACACAGAGAGCCTTTGAAATAGAACTGAAACTAAGCCATTCTTCTATGCAGGTTGTTGCTGCTTTCTGTTGGGTGTAGGAGACTATTTCCCTGAATAAAGCTTTGGTTTCCAGCACAACCCTTTCTTTATTCATGGTAGACTGGACAGAATTGTCTCTTTAAAGTCAGTTGGGCAAAAACAATCACAGACTTGAATCCTCAAGAAAATCTGCCGCCTCAGCGCATTTCTGCCCTCTGCTGCACCCCTGTGCCCATGTCGTGATGCTTTACCATGTTAGCACCTTATGGGGGTTCTCACCTTTCCTAAGCAAACACAGTCATAGAGGACTAGACTTTCTACAGATCTCACCTGTGTAAGAAACACTGCAAAGTCAGAGGCTGACAGCCTCACACTGAGAATCTACACTGAGGGTCATCCTCCTGTAAACCCAGCAAGCGAACTGCCCTGCCCCCAGTCCTAGCCTTGTTCTTTGACCTCGTGCCCAAGATATGTTCCTGTCCTGGAACAGGAAAGTATAATCAGCTTCTTCCTCACGCCTTAGGATCCAGGCCCTTCCCATCTCATGAGGCCCCAGGGACCCCTCTTCTCCTAGGACTCCCGCCCCTCCCCCTCAACACAAGACCCAGGGTCTCACCTAACATGAGCTCCTGTTTAACACTGCTCCCAAGCACCCTGAACATGCACCAGATGCATTTAAATAACCTTAGAGGTAAATAGTAAAAGGTTAATAAATATATGTCATTGTTATCAACTTCATTAGCATGCATTGTTCCCAGGAGGGATTCTTGCTTAACTGTCCCACTGGAAAGAAAAAACAAAGGACAATGAAATTAAGCATTAGATTGAATACAGGCTCCTTTGTTGGGTGTAGGACCTCAGTTTTTAGAGATAATAAAGACCCAACCAAAATGATTGCTTTGAAGGTTAATGGAAATTTACCGTAATGAAATTTAACGTGTGCTTGAGCTGGAGTTAATTGCTTTGCTAGCTGTGGTAAGTGCCTCTATCCTTTGAAACAAGATCTTTTGTAAACCCACATAAGCTGACTTGTCCTGAAGGACCATCAGCTAAATGCTGATGAATCTGCATGTGTTCCTGCAGTTGTTGTCCCTTACAGGTGATACTTTTTGTTCTTTTTATTTTAAATATAATTAGCCACACTTAGAGTACATTTGAAGAAATGTACCACTACTTTCTCTTCTAGTGAAGTCCACATAGTCAGCAACTAAGGCAATGTAGTCAAGGAAGGCTTCCACCTCGTAGCTGCTGAGTTTACAAAATAATTTGATATTACTGTGCTCTGTTGAAATGTAGTACTTTAGGTTAAAAAATTTTTTGATTATTTTTCTGGTAATAAAAATAATGCACTTATACTGAAAAATTAGGAGACAGCCAAGAATTACGGACACTGATGATCTCATGATTGAGAGCTAATGTTTAACATACTAGTAAACATTAGAACACAGGAGTCTCCTTTTCTTTCCAATGCAGTGCTAGCCCATGGGACTTTCTGTAGTGATGGAAACCTCCTTGACTGGCACCATCCAGTATGAGAAGAACCAGCCGCCAGGGACCGTAGGGCACGAGTCGATTTTTCTTTTTGTGAGACAGGATCTTGCTGTGTGGTTCAGTCTGGCCTTGAACTCTTGGTAATCTCCTTGCCTCAGCTCCTGAGTGCTGGATTTAAAAGCTCAAGTTTTAATTGTGCTCTGTGGCAATTAAATGTATCATGTATTATTTTAAATGTTTTCAGCTTTCTTTCTGTGCAATTGACAAAGACTGTGTAGGTCCAAGGTATTCGATGCAGTCATTTAACATATGTACACGGGGTGAAGAGGTAACTGTGATCAAGCTAGTGACGGCACCCAGAGCCTCACTGGTGGCATCTGTGCAGTGTGCGGATGTGCGGATGTGACGTGAAAACGTAGCCCACTCTCTGTTACCAGGACAATGCTCAGGACCAGGCCACACTCATGCTGCTCTGCATCAGTCCCCAGAACTTCCCTCCTAACTGAACTCTTGTGCTTTCTGGTCCACATTCCCTCATTGAAGCTTCGAGGGACCACTCTCCTCTTCTTGGCTTCTGTGTATCCAACTCGCTTTAGATTTCTCTGGTTTCATTCATCTTGTGGCAAATGTCAGGGTTCTGTTTGTTTGTTTTGTTTTGTTTTGTGTTTTTCTCTTTTTGTACAGGGGATTGAATTCATGACCCTGCACTTTCCAAGCAGGCACTGGGCCACTGAGCTACATCCCAGTCTTGCAAATGTCATTGCTTTCTGGCTGAATAATATTCCACTCAGTCTACTTACACAATATTTATTTCCCTTATCCATTAATGAGTACAACTGAAATTTCAACAGTCAGATATGGTTAATGACTACCATATTGGTCAGTGTAGCTCTCAACAGCTATTTTTACCACACTGGAGACATGACATTACACAGGGGACATTTCCTCACATTACTAAACATCTTGTGAAAACATGATTTCAATGCCTCCTTATTTCACAATATAAAGGTATTATTCATTTTAACATCCCTAATTAGGAGGCAATTAGATTTTTTCCATTTTATCTCCTGTAAATAAAGCTATAGTAAATCACTTTATAAATAAACCTTCATCTACAGCCACGACTACTTCCTTAGGATAGATCCCAAAGGAGAAATTACTAGCTGGAACGATAGGAAATTCTCTGAGACATATTCCTGAGCAGTTGTACCTGTTACAATGGGTGCATTCCCACCAGGAGGTCCTCCAGAGCAACTGTTTCATTGTACCCATCAACGCAGACCATCACTCAGTTATCTTTTTTAAAAATCCCATGCTTTATTGATAAATTAAAATGATACCAAGTGGTTGGATTTTTGTCCATTGATCGGTGGTCATGATGATCATACAGATGAACCACTGAGGTCCCTAACAGAAGGCAAGTAGTAGCCCAGCTGCATTTGGGTTGCTGTAGATAGTCTGTCTACAGCCTCTTTCAGGATCTAACTCGTCCCTGCCTCACCTAAAGTGCGCCTCTCTGGGCAGCCCACACCCAGGGACTGAGTGGTGCCAAGATGTGCATACCTAGCCATTGTGCCCAATGGGGTGTCTCTGATGGGCATATTGGCTCCAGAGCTCCTGGCCAGCATTGCTGAGGCATTGTGGAACCTGCACCACCAGCAGGCATCTCTACTTCCCAGGTCCTCTTCCTCTTCATTTCCTCCACGGTGTGGGTCTCCAGCAGATAGCTTAGATCCCAAACCTGGCTCAGCATCTGCTCCTAGAGAACCCAGTTTGCAGTAGAGATGATGTAGGACCTTTCATATTTATTTGATTTTTCTGTTGTGTTAAGGATTATGAAATTACTTCCAGGCAAAAAAAATGTTGATATTAACAAATATTCAAAGATTTGTTTTGTTTGAAGCAATAGGAAAAGTAATAAAGATTGGTACATTTGGTTTAAAAATTGAAGTTTTCCACCTATGAAAACAACGTGAATAAAATCTTCTAAAGGCACAAAGTGGAAAATTATAATAGACAAAATTTAGTGTTTACCTAGAAGAAGAACTTATGTGACAAAGTGTGGTGAACAGTGAAAACATTGTACTGTCTTGTCTTGTGTATTTCTTTAGGACATAAAACAACACTCCTTTTGTGCATTCTCTAAATAGACTCTCACAAACCCATCAGGACTAAATTATTCTGAAATTTCAGGTAATCCAGGATGAGGATAGCTTTAAAAAACAACCACAACACAGCAAAGGTATTTTATTGGTGAAGAAATGCAACACAAATGAAAACATGGTTCTGTAAGAACAATCACAGTTCTTCCAGGCCTCTGGTTCCCAAACTAGTGAGAAAAGCAAAGAGAGCCCCTCAAACATCACCATCTCCGCTAACCCCTGTCTCCTGTGCTTTACAGCCTTGCTCTCAGATGACCTCACAGACGCAATTATCTGTGCCAAGAAAATTGTTAAAGAGACACAAGGGATGAACTACTGGTAAGAGTCCTTCCTCGGGCAACTCTGGCTGGTGTGAGCAGAATCTGCAGTGTATCCAAGCATGGTGGCTATGGGGAACTTTGACACCCAGAGGTGTGCAACAAGGCTGCCATGACCTTGTCCGTGCTCTTTCCCTTCGATGTGTAGGTGTTTGGAGAAGAGAGTAGAAAGGATGAGGGTGGGGAGAAGAGACTGAGTCAGACAAGCTTGTATCCTCACAAGAAGTTGGAGAAAGACGTGTGCTTTCTAATGGGGAATGGAAAGCATCCAACCATCCAACATAGTGAAGGAGAAGAGCTTGGGTTTGCTCTGGATTTGTGTAAGAGTTTGGAGGGGAAAGGGACCATGTCTGTTGCATGACAGCTCAATGGGAAATTTTTCTGGGTCTGATCAGAAGCCGTGGTTCACCTAGGACCCACTCACCCGAAGGCTGTTCCCACTGAACACTGCTAGCTGGACCACCCGCTTAGCGATTCCACACTTTTAGAGATGTGGGTGTTGAACTCAGTGAACCATCCTTCCAAAAGCTGTTTGTTTGTTGCTGAGGCAGAAGAAACAAAACTAAGGAGAGAAGTTTTAAGATAAAATACTAGACACCTCATGTCTCAGAAGGAACCAAAGCTACCCTCTGGGCATCACTGATTATTCAGCTAACTCTCCATGGGTCTGAGCCTCAGAACGCATAGGTTGATGTGTTTCTTGCTTCTTTCTGTTGATTCTGCTTCCCTCTCCTCCTCAGGCAAGGCTGGAAGAAACACTGTGAAGGTCAAGATCTGTCTGAGTGGAAAAAAGGGTGTGATGTTTTATAAATGGGAACCGGACCCAAGGCATCTCACGCTGACTCCCCACAGTGTATAATAGATGTCAAAATACTCACGTCATCTTGTCCCCTTTCTCCCAGTATTCATGCTCAGCACTGGGGAGGGAAAGCTGTGCTGTATTTAAAGAAAATAAACATTTCCACTTAAATGTCTTCATCCTGAATCAGTTTCAATGATGTCATAATAGCATGAGGTTAAGACTTGAAAAATCATCTCTGGAATGTTCCAGTCCTAAAATGAATAAATTTTCTTCTTCGAGGTAAGGAGTCCTGCTGGTGTAGCCCTGAAGTGGCTTACAGCCCAGAAATGGCTGCTTGTAGCCCTGAAATGGCTGCTCCTATCCTTGAATGACTACTCATTCAAACAGACTTTGAAGTCAATTAGACTCAGTGAGCAACCTTAAAAGGTCTCCAGGCCATGGTTTACCAACCACTCACCAAAGATATTCCACTGTTCTCCTCCAAAGCAGTGGACACACAGTACCTCCACAGGAATAGTTCTGTGTCCTTCAGAGGGTGGAAACTCTACTGGGCAAGAGGAAAACTGCTGCTCTTACTCTCAAAGTCCTGAGACTTCCCATGAGTTATTCTAGCATCCATTTAAATGAAACTTATCAACTTGAAAAGTCACACCTCATAAATGCTCATAACAAAGATATTTTTTTTTCAGTCTTAGACCTACTGGATTTGTTGTTTACCTGATGACAATCCTAGTACATGTAGCAGGGAGATGACCCCAGAGAGTTACTCTCAAGATGCTCCCTGCACCACCCAGGAGTGCTTCATCTAATGGTCTGTGTGGTGGGCACGTTGCTCCTGCTGGGTGTTTTCTTGTATTGCTTTCTGTCCATCTGTCTCTGCCCTGCTGGGGCAGAGCTGGTTGAAGCTGTCTTGTCCTAAATTTAGGTGAAAACAGTAGGTTCAGGTTGAATGCAATCTGACCTGAAGAATACAATAAGCTGAGTTTTTTTTGGGAAGTGGTGATGCCAGAAAATAATTTGCCCCCAAAAAGGAGGTCCCCAAGACCCGGCTAAATATTGGACCAATGCCCCAAAAAACCTTTCATCATATTTGTTCTCAACCACCCTGATTTTAATATGGGCTCCTTTCATAAAGGAGCTAAAGCTCGTTGGCTTTACTTTCATACTTTTTTAAAAAATGAACTGTTCCTAGTCAAAAATAAACAAACATGAAATATATTAGGACCATATAATCCTGGTACAATGTTGTGGGCTGTACAAACCATGAAGGGAAAACTTTGAAACTCACAACAACAATTGAGAAATAATTGTACCAGATGACTGAAGAAAATTTTAAAAATATAGAACCCATTAGTTGCACTAAATCAATAATCTGTGCTTGAAGAAGTCCATAAATATGCATTTTTATAATTATTGTCCAGTCATCCATCTGTCTCGTGGTCCCCATTTTTAGCCAGACCTCCTGCTTCATTAAAACCAATGGCACCAAGTTAATGAGCTGGCATGAATCTGGCGCCAGCCATTCAAAGACCAGGGGAAAGACTTTCAAAAAACAAGAAAAACCCAACTCCAAAAATGAAAGGTAATGGGAGGTTGTCTGGCCTTCCAATTTGATTGATCTTTCTTTTTGTAAAACTCATAAAATGGGTAAGCATGCAATCTTACTATTTCTCTCAAATGTTTTATTTATGCATTATTTCTATAAATACTAACAGGATGAAAAATGCATTTCCTGGATAATTTTCCATGATACCTTCAAAAATTTAAGAGGAAAAATTATTTCTATGCTTGGGTTATCCTTATTTACCAAAAGCATATTAAAGCTACAATCCACATTTGTATGTCTTTTTATATAGTTTCCAAGACATTTTGGGAATAGTTACTCTTTTTCCATTTTCTCCTCAAAACTACCTTATCAGCAGATTACCAGATCCACTCATCACATACTTAAATATTAGGGTTTAGAGAACAGCTTATTTTGGTATATTTCTTTGAGGACTCTGCTACCTGACTTTTGGGACCTTTCTTTCTACATCTCTGTCTTTCCCTATGTGTCCCAACTTGTTCTGTTATTTCTTCATACTTTCTACTTTGCTCTGTATTTTCTTTGATGCTTCTGAACCCAGTGTTCCATTTGCCCTTGGGTATCTTTGTTCGCACCTTGGAAAATCATGCCACTTCCAGGTAGCCTATTCCAGCCCACTCAGCTAGGGAAATTTCCTCTGACCTCACGGTTGGTGTGCACTCTCCAGTTAGGTCACCATACACTAGTGTTTTCACCCATTCTCTAAACCCCGTGAAGCCTGCACCCTGCTTCTAACTTCCATGCATTCCCATGATCTCCTCTTCTCAATGCATATAATAGTTAACATTTTTAAAAGATTGGATGTTGGCTGTGGTTCCACTGAACACATGTAGGATTTCTGAGGAACTACGAAATAAGACTGCATTTATAACACTTTTATGTTCAAAAGGCTCCTTATAAAAACCTTGGGACACCGGGTCATGTAATCTTCATTTTACCCAGCTCAGTGAGACGCAGTATGCTTAAAATATGAAAATCATTGATTCTGATGTAGGCTAAAGGACCCTCTTAGGGCATCTGAGCCTTTCATTTCTGGAGAAGCGGGGCTCCCTGGATTTCGGTGCCCTGCAGGGCCTCTGGATAAAGCAAAAACACTGCTATAAGAGATATCTCATCACTGGCCTCCAGGGCAGCCACAGCATGGAGCACACAGATGCCAGGCATCCTTTGTATGTCATGATGTATAAAGCAGAACTTCAAACAGCAGCTTGCAAAGGATCCCACTGTTGGAGGGTCCCTAGTGGAGTGGAAGCACCTGGACTTCCTTGGGGATTGTATATTAGTCAGATTCATCCGACTATAACAAAATACTTGGGGCAATTAACTCATTAGGAGAAAAGATTTCTTTTGGTTCATACTTCTGAAGATCCTGGTCCAAAATCAGGAGGCCCCATCGAACCAGGCCTCTGGGAAGGACAGAGTAAGCAAAGTCAGTAGCAGCCAAAGACTGCTTGCACACAAGCCAGGGAGAAAAAAGAGACAGCAGGGGACCAGGGTCCCATAATCCCCTTCAAGGTCCTGCCTCCCCTCTGACCTCCTAATAGGCCCCGCCTCCCAAAGGTCCATGGCAGCTGCCATGAGCACCACTCTGGGGGCCAAGCCTTTAGCAGGTGGACAGCTGGGGACACTGTCCATGTTTAACCCACACTAAACTGAAAAGAGTGTAAGCAGCACCCTGCTGGAGAGGAAGCAGTGCCCTTTCCGGCAGTACCCTTTTTGTCCAGTTCTTTCCTCTCTAAGGAGGAAAGCACACGCAGACCCCAAACCCCGACTCTTCAGACACATCTGCCCAAGCTGAGGGGCAGGAGCTCACGGAGTCCCAGTGCAGAGGGGAGGAGGAAGACATGGTGTTTCCTTACACAGAGCCACAACTGTGCAGCTCCTACCCGGGCCGCCTCACAGATACCCAGCCCCGGTGAAATCCTGGCCTCTGAGCTGTGCAATTCGCCCTTCTTTTCTCCGTCTTAGTGCCTGGGCTTTGATTGTAATAATAATCCTTATTCGTTTGAAACATACAGAAAATATTTTTCAAAACCACAAAACTGAAACTTTCTCATCCCTTAAAAAAAATCATTAATATTTTGATCCTTTTCCCTCGCTTTTTTTTTTTTTTTGTCATTTGTATAAACTGGGAGCTCTACAGTATTTCATGTTGCATCCTGCTCTTTTCACTTCATATAAAATTCCCAGGATTTCACAGAATTTCTACCACATTAGTGTTTTCCAAAATATGATCCATAGAGTAGGCGGTGACACTGCTGTCCCACTGCTCTCTCCCCCGTGAGTCTTGGCTGCACATTTGGGTTAATCAACAGCATTTTCAGATGCTGGACCCCGGTTTCCTGCACGCTCCGTCACCACCCTCCACGTGTGTTGGAGGAGGGCATCCTTCCCACGGCTTCCTGGGTGTGTGGTATGGTGATCTGAACTGAGATCAGCAGTGTGACGCTGAGCCACATTTCCCAGTTAGGGCACATTATCCGTGCTTAGTTGCTGCTAAGGGAACAAGTTGGTACTGTAAGGAAAACCCCCAAACACTTGCTTAGCATGGCTGGTATATCCCCTACCTCTGGTCACAGAGTAGAGCCAACGGTTATGCCACCAGACACCAGGAGCAGAGAGAACCACCTAAGTGTCTTCTGTGGCCAGAGGAAGCCCAGCCCTTCCAGCACGAGCCATGTGAACACATACAGGAGGCCAAGCGTCTGTTTGTCCACCTGTAAACTTAGAGCAACACGTGCTTTCACAGCTACGCAAGGTGTCAGGCGGTGTCAGGGTACATCACACAAACGGCCTTCAGTGAGGGCTGCTGATTATCTACATTTTTCTGTCTCTAAAATGTTTGAATAGGTGATTGCTCAAAGGTCTTAATAAGTCTTAATAAGTGAGCCACATTTTTGCAGGAACCGGCGACATGCTCTGCAGGGAAAGGAGCAGGAAGATTCTGGCTGAAAGAAATCCCCCTCGAGACTGTGGCTGTGTGTATCTTAATAGGTTACTGCTGCAGCTGCTGCTGCTGAAATTCTGAGTTACAGGGTAAAAAGTTAACACTGTGGCTAGGTTTCCCTGCCTGATCCCTGCCACACCCCCACTGGCAACCTCATTCTTGGTGAAGAAGAAAGAATGGAATCTATAGTTACCTTGAAAAGCATTTGTGCAAAAAGAAAGCCCGGATTCATAAGTAATCTGACTTCTGCATCTCTGTTTGAAAGAGTATCCTGTTACCAGCTAAAGCAAACAACGCGGTTTCCACCCCAGGAACTGGCAGGCCCTGCGAAAGGGCAGATTGGAAAAGATTAAATATTTGTGCAGAAACCCAGGCCCCATTCTGCAGAGAGCTGCCTTGGTCTGGGATAAAAGGTGAGGGAGCAGGGAAGGAGCTAGGAACCAAGGAGCAGCCTTATCTGGGTAGAGGAAGGACTGGGCTGGGAGGGGAGGGGAAGAGGGCAGAGAAAAGTGCAGAGGGGTCTCCGCAGGTGGGCAACAGGGGTGCTCTGAGGCTGCCCTTTGACCCCTGCCCTGGAACCAGCCACGTGGCTCAGAAGCAGACAGAAAGGGCTG